CGCCATGTGGTCACCTCCGGGGCAGGCTGGAATCGAACTCATGCGGAAGTGGCTTTAGCTTCTCAGTGCTGTGCTTTAACCCGCCACGCCACCAGGGAGGGCCATTTCTCTTATTTTTAATGACCCAGTTCAAGCAGATATTCTGTAGAGTGAGTGGTGGATGGGTTCTTTGAAATAGGGTTGTTTTGTTTTGTTTGCAGGAAGAGTTGACCCATCTAAGGAAGGGTCCCTGGGCATTTCTGAATTCCCAGGTCAGGTGAAGCCTCAAAACTGTTATGGCTCCTTTGCATAAGGTATTGGGGACCATGCCTGGCTATGCTTAGGTTGGGGCTGAATTTCACAAGGTTTGTAAAGGAATCACTGGTGCTCACAAGAGAGTGAGGGAGCAGGAGGCCACGAGCTATGTTTATGTGTATTTATTGTATTCTGCTTATGGGTATTTATATAACCACTTTGTTCATAGTTTCCAAGCTGGTTGGGATAGGAATGAAACTGGGACACAGGCGATACGTTGGGGAGAAATGGAGGGACTGAGAGATCATGATGAAATGAGGGAACAGCTACTCATATGGGAACCCCATGGTACTGGGCTGGCATGAGGCCAGAGGTGGCAGTGGAGGACATGGCTTTTGGACAGGAGCAGTTCTGGGACATGGGAAAACCAGGGCCAGCCATGGGGGAATGGAGGTAACTGGAATTTGGGCATCAGCAAAGTGGAAGTCCAAGACATATGAAAGGTCACCCCTCAGGAAAAGGCAGGACAGTCAAAGGGCATCTGTGAGGCAGATAGTGGTGTCTAGCGAGGTGGGAGGCCATGAGTGACAGGGCAGAGGATGATGGGGCAGAGTGTGACAGGGCAGAGGGTAACCTGGGTGGCCTTGAATCTCTTCCTGAGATGCAGAAGTAAGCGGCAAAAGTAGGGTTGTACTGCTCTGTGTCTTTTCCCACCACCACTTCCCCTGGTTACCTGAGGAGAAAGATGGACACACTTTGTCTTGAAAGAGCCCTCTGGGAGTCAACATTTTATCAAGGCCTACTTTGCACTTTTACACAGACTCTTATCCTTTCCCAGAGCAGAGGAAGGAGACAAAGAGCATGGAGGTATGCACCAGTCTCCTCTTGCACTTCCCAGTGGAATACCTTGGACAGTATATCAGCATTTCTCAGCTTCCAGAGTCCCACTCACCAAAATGGGGGTGTCAGTGTTTTCTCTAGGGACAGTGTTTGTTATTCAGGAGACTTCCCCCAGGAGTGAATGAATTGTTGCATTGTGGAGGCTCCCACCTCATAAATGAATAAGCAGATTCCAAGTCATGCTTCACTAACTACACCGGCTGCAGGTGCCTTCCGTGTCCAGTCTCTGGGCCTCTTCTCCAGGATAGAGGGATTGGAATCTGCCCCAGCTCTGTCAGAAGCCTTACTGCCTGGACATAACAAGTCCTCAGGGACCTCGGGACCAGGAATACCAATAATTCAGAGGCTCCTGTATGTCTCTGATCTTACAAAACCCAAGTCATTCTCATTTCAGCCAAGAGCAGGTTAAGGCACCACAGGCCCTTCTCCAGCTCACAGCTATGCCCACTGCCTCCCCAGGTCCTTGGGGATTTGCCTCTCACAGGGCCAGCTCAGGCCTGGAGGCCAGCGTCCCTAAGTATGAAGGGGCTGGGTTGCAGTCTTCAAGAACACCTTTCTGAGATTCTCAGACTCTCACTTCATGAGTCCTAACAAGAATCCTTTCCAGGAAAGCAGCCAGAAGAGAATACTTATTGTGCTTTCTGAGGGTCTAGTGAGCAAACATAGGGCAGGTTCACTATGGATTGGGGAAGACAGATAAAGGAGAGTCCTGGAACCTAGGTGGATTTTTTAGGCTTTAACGCTCTCTCAGGGAAGCAGGTATACAGGCACACACCAGGCAGGGAGGCTGGCACACAAGGAGGCAGGCATGGGGGTCAGGGGGACTGGGAGGTCCGGGAGGAAACTGAACCTGCCAGACGCCTATGAATCTTTATCTTTCTCTGGGCTCTCTCTGGCATTCACTCATGGTCTTACCTCTCTGTAGTCACTTGTCTTCTCCTAACTGTACTCATAGCCCTGGTTTCTATGCTCAGGTATGCACACTTATCAAGGCACACCCACACTCCAGGAGTTCACGGTCAGGCACCCCATGCCCACGCTCCCAGGCACCTCCTGTGTTAACACGATCAAGGCCACAGGGGATGGCCACAGAGGCTAAGTGATTTAAAAATCCTAATTAATTCATTTAATTCTCCAGAGCCCTGCAGAGGTTCTGTAGAAAAAAAGTAATGTCAGGCCTTAAAAAGGAATCTACAATCTTATTTTTTTTTAACATTATAGGCACTCAACAAATTCTGGGAAATTTAGATTGTTGGTAAACATACAAATGTCCAGGAACTAAATAGAAACTCAAATGAGAAAATCCTTTGTCTAACAGAACAAGGTGGTAAGATTCTGTTGTTTTCACCTGCCATCTACACCCAATCTTCTCTCCCCACCCCTTCTTATGCTGTTCAAGCTAAGTGTGCAGACCCTTATGCCATTTGCACCTTCTCCCCCTAACTTTGCTAAAGTTGCAACATCCTTCCTTCCACTGTGAATTCTCACTCATCTGCCAAAGCACATCATTTCCAAGGGCCTCATTGTTTCTCTGAACAAATATTTATGGGTCTCTCTTGGGGTCAGGTCTGCGTTAGATTCAGGAAGAACAGGGAAAAACCAAACACAGCCATACCCTCCTCATACTGTTGGCACAGGATACTAGGGCGGACAGGTGCAGGCCTGTGGGGTTCCTAATTTGAGTGGGGTCTCTCCTCCCTCTTCAGCCATTGGCAGCTGATTGTCCTATGTGCTCCCAAAGCACTGGGGGCCAGCCAGGTTCTGGAGACAGGTTGGAAGGAGGAAGATTCAGGTTGCAGTTTTCACTGTGCCACTAATTAACCGGGGCATGTTTTCCATGTATGAAGTGGGGATCACCTGCATTTTGGAGTCTTGTGAGGCTCAGATAAAACATGTTGTGTGTCTACACTGATAAGATTAAATGTGCACTTCTGATGACAAGGAAGGACTGATTCTTAAGTGTGTTTGGAACCATCCCCATTCCCAGTGTCAAGCTCAGTGTTGAGCGCAAAGGAATCTGCTACAAAAATAAGATAGGATGAAAGAAACTGAGAAAGCATCTTCTCACACTTGGGAAGGGACTGACTCATACATTCATTCATTTAAGAGTGGCTTTTTGAGCCAGGTACTGGGATGTGCACAAAGGTGGCTCTGCCCCAAGGTGACACGTCAGGGCCCTGAGAACTGACCTTTGTTTCTCTCTGCACACAGGCCATGAGCAGCTGCAACCACGAGATGTCGGTTTTCCGAGTGGTAAGAGCTATTTCCACTTAAGGGTTATTCCTGGGAACTACCAAAAGCTGAATCAAACCCCTCCCAAGGAAAAAAGAGGCAATGCCACCTTACCAGGAAAATAGGAAAGAGGGGAGAAGTGATGGGAGAGTTTGAAGAATAAGACAGATTATATTACTTAAAGAAAATTAGTTTGGCCAACCTCTGGGCCCTGGTAGGGTGCAGCCCAGCAACAGTCATTCCTCGCTTATATTCAGGGTTTAAATATCTTGACAAAGAGATTTCTTCTTTGTCACCTTCTCATGGCAACTGCAGAGAATGCAGCCAGAGCAAGTGAAAAGCAGACAGTGAGACCCTTCATGGTCTCCCCTCAGCCCAGCAAAAGTCTGCTAAGTGCCTGCAGTGTCTCAGAGACTCAGAGAAGGCTCACCAATTCCATTCACTGTTGCATAAAAAAACACTGAGGTGCTACCTTGTCCTGCCTTGGTGGGGGTGGCCAGAAACCAGCTTCTGTGCAACCCAGGTGGTTTGTGGATGACAAAGGAGAAGCTCCAGAGCTGGGGGTCCTTCTCTGTCCTGCCCCCCAGAATTCCAAGCCAAATCCAGGAAAACTAGACAGCAATGCCAAGTCCTCTTCAATATGAAATTGCCCCCAAATATTCTTCTTCTGAGGACAAAACCACAAAGTAGCCATGGTTTCCTTCTGGACCCATTGCCAGGGTAGTAGAGGTGGGCAGCAACCCCAGATGAATGAGCATCTTGCCTTGGGCCCCATGGGAGAACCCTCCAAGTATCTGACTCCCAGAATGGGTGACTAGGGTAGTTTCTCAGTTACAGAATTGATTTAAATCTGTTTTTAGGTTTTATTAAATCATAAACATTAGAACATGGCACCACTTTGGAGTATGAACAATCTTTAAGGCACAACTGGGTTTATTTCACGAAGGAATATACCCATGGGATGCTGTAGCTCCAGGTGTCCTTATCCCCAGCCCACCCCCAATGCCAATAACTCTAAGCAGAATTTACACCCCCTTGGGGGCATATTACTGTCAGTGGTAACTATGGGCATGATCTAAGGTTGCACGTTTCTGGATAGAAGACTGATTGCCTTGTTCATCCATGAACTGCCCTTCCCAGGGCTCTGGCGACTGTTGAGTAAAGGGATCTGATCCCTGACATATTATCTAAGTGTACTAAGTCTGTGCTACAGTACTCAGGCTCCCCACTTACTCATACCACATTCCAGCTTCATGTCGTTCTGGCAAAGGAGTCCCTTTCAGCAGACGAAGCAGCTCAAGGAATATACAATCAGGATTAAAACCCTGGCCTCCTACTAGTCACCTCAGGCAATACCACAGACAGGGGTGTTTAAATGGCAGGCTCTTATTTTCTCACAGTTTTGGATCTTGAAAGTTGAAGACCAAGGTCAGGAGAGTTGTTGTGAAGCCTCTTCCCGGGCCACAGAAGGCCACGTTCCCACTGCGTCTTCATACCGCCTTCCTTCTGTGTGTAGAGAGCTCTGTGCCCCTCTTCTTAGAAGATGGCCACTCCTACCAATGGGTCCACCCATTTGATCTAATCCTATCTTAATTAACACCTTAAAGGCACTGTCTCCAAAACATCAGTGGTTAGGGTTTAAATATATGAGTTTGGGGGGATACAACTTGTTACAGGGCAGGGTAAGGGGCACTCCAGAACCCCCAAACCTTCCTGATCTTCTATCCACCACCACAAGACAATGTACTCTAGTGATAAGACCTTTAATACAATTAGTGTGCAACATGACAAGGAAGACAAGACAGGAATAAAGTTTCCAAAGTAGGCACCTGAAGTTACCCATCCCCTCGTGGGTAAATGCCCAGCCAAACGGGGTTGGCCCAAAGCCCAAAACCCTCTCCCCACCCCCAACCTTACTTCTAACCCTCACAAACCTACCACTTACCTCTTCTGGTAAAATTGGAACAATGATTTTAATATTATGAGGTTATTCTGCATTACGCATAATCCCAAACTTCAACACCAGTTTAAGGACTGCTATGTGTTCCAAAAATGGGGGGAGAGGTTTAAGCAAAAGAAATAGTACCGAAAAGCACAGAGGGAGCCTAATAATGGGTTTTGAATTTGCTAGAGCAGGTGGAGAAACTAGGGCTAACTCTGTCCTATCCACCCTGTCGATGCTAATGGCGATGGTCAAGGGCACAGGCACACTGAGCACACTGGGAACGTGTCCGCTCTTAACTGAGGCATGCTATAATGTCACAGCAATTTCCCAGGAAATCAGATGGCACTCAGAGAAATGGAGACAGAGATTTACTTGTCACCCTGGTGGGCGCGGTGCGATCAGTTCCAAAGCCCCTAGTTACAGGCATGGCAAGGTTTTATACAGCTTGTATGAAGAACCTTGTCATCCCATCCATCACAGCATGAGCAGTCTTTATTGTTTGGGAAGGGGTCAGGGCAGCCATAGCTACTGCTGTGGACAAGCAGCACACTGCAGGAACTTTCTGCTCCAGCAAGCAGCAGACTCCAAGCAACAGACTCCCCCAAGCAGCAGGCCTGGGAAAGTAGCAGAATCTAAGCAGCAGGCTTGGGAAACTTCCTGCTTCAGTAAATCTAAAGCACAAGCCCAATCCCAGGACTCAGGATAAAAACAGAATGTAAAATAGCTCATTGATGCCTTTATTTTGAAGCCTTGTGCATTCATAAAATTAATTTCCCCTGTATCTCTGTACCTCTTAAAAGTGACCACTAAGCCATTTCAAACACTAGGTGTTTTGAATTGTCTTGCTGTTGAGCAGTGCTGGCCTGGACCACATGAAGGATGGGAACTTGTGTACATTGTCCTATTGTAGCAGTTCAAGGATGAGTGGGCTGGGTGCCTGAAGTAAAGGTGGTGGTGATCCCCATGAACCACATTGGACTAAGAAATAGAGAAAGTTGAGGCCCCAAACAAAAGCTGAGGACTTTTACAGAAAGTGAATTGATGTTACATTGATTTCAGCTTCAGGGAATCTCATTAAGTATGCACATGCACACAGGGTTGCTGCTTTAAGGATGAACTAGGAACAGACCTTTCTCTTGCCATGATGGCGGGTGAAAAAACCTGAGTCTGGTGTTGCCACACATTCTGAATATCCCATGCCCTGTCACTTTCATGAAATCCCATTTTCCTTCCAGGTGACAACTATGAGTGTATGTACCTATTTGCAGAGAAACTAGTTGGTGGAAATATTTTTAAGTGCAAAGAGTCTCTCTTGGATTGGTACAATCTCCAGCTCCTGGAGCCATAAACATGACTTAGCTTATCCTTAATCATTCCTCATCCTCAGTCAATCCATGCCTTTCCTCGGGGACACAGTCCAACAATCAGTTACTTGGGGGTGGAATTGCTGGGAAAAATAAAAACAAACACTGATACCCATGCCATCTGTTCCTGAGAAAGGGAAGGCTTTTGTGGGTCTACTAATGGACCTGCTTAGACCAGAGGCTTCTGGTAGAGGATTCCTCTGTGGCCCATCTGGCTCCTCAGCCTATTTCTTCCACACATGAAAGAAGAAAATAGGGCAGGTGAGCACATGGTGGCGGGGCACAGTGCCCATTTCAGCCAATAGGCAAGAAGAACCTGTCCAGAGATGTTGGTGTGGAAGTCTCCTGGAAGTGGGTTAATCACTCAGGCTCCTAGTCTCTGGGTTCCCTGTGTCAGGCTAGAACACTCTCGCCAAGAGTTCCTCCTGCAGCTGGGAGCAGCAAGTTGTTAGGTGACTCTTGTCAAGGAAGCCTGTGTAGATCGATCGCTCTGCTTTCTGTAATTCTGCCTCTGTTTCTTGTATGTCGGTGTAGACTTTTCTTTGCACCTGATCATTTCTCTATTTCTTCTCATTCTTCTCCTGCTTCTATAGTCATGTTTTTTCTGCTGATAGAGCTCATGAAGCTCTAGTTTCTGTTTCATGCCTTATCTTCTCTTAGTAGAACTTTGACCAGATGGAATGAATAACATGTGTTCTGAATTCTACATATTCTTCATGTAGGCCTGATACCTCATCACTCTGTCTGGACTGTAAATGACCTTTCTCTTCTGATTCTGATTAACATCAATTTTGTTGTGAGTCGCCCAGCTTCTGACTTTGAATCTTTTCAATATGGTGACTAGCCAGCTGCCCCATTGCTCTCTGAAATTATCACACTAGTCTCTGAGGTTTCTGATAGGATTTCTTTCATTCATTGAGCACAGCACTCTGGTTATCTGCATCTTGAAGTAACTGTGCTTTCTAACTTAACTTTTATTTTTCAATGTTGAATAGGAATAGAATTTAAAGTATCAGTCTCCCACTTCCTCTTGCCCAAGAGTAACCACTGTCAAACCTTGTAGTTGATTTTTTTTATATTTTCCACTGTGTTTCTTTCCTTCTTATTTTTTAAAGGTTTATTTTATCTATTTATGCATGCAAGAACTGGGGCACACACAGGCCAGAGGTACACAGGGGGTGAGAGGATTCACCAGAGACAAAGTGGGGAGCAGAACAGACAGATTGACTGCAATATGCAGCTGAGGGGAGTAGTGGGTGAGTCAGGAGAGGTCAGCTCCCTGGCTAGGAATCAAATTCATGCTTCAGTGGCTGTACATAGCTTCAGAGTGCCATGCTGCAAACTGTTGTGCTACCAGGGAGGGCCCAGCTTCCCTGTGTTTCTAAAGAAC